ATTTGCATTGTGAATTGCACATGTATATTGACAGTTAGCCCGTGAATAAAAACTGCAGCTCCTCACTACCCTCTTGCTTCCCAGCTGGTGTGTAAGAACTCTGTCACTAGGCTCTGCTGCCTAGGTCACAAAATGTATTTATTTATATTTATTCAGTGCTTTTTTTATCGCGCAACAACCTTACATTTACACACGTATTGTCAAAAAAAGAAGTCTTGAAGCGTAAAAAGATGCTTCAGGTCACAGTTTACGCCTGTGACGCTGCTCAAACGCGAGACTGCACGGAGCCAGTGCAGATAGCTACATAGATTAAAGTGAGAGCATATTTTTTGTGAGTTAAATACGCACCTGATACGCTTGTTATCGAGACACGGAGTATGGACTAAATGGTGTTAAAGTGAAAGTGTTGCATGAAGAGTAACTAAATGGGAATTCTAAAAGGAGTTGAGGTGATTATTGAACCATTTCTGTTTCGAAAATAGCAGCTATTGTTGATGGCTGAGTTCAATTAAAGGTCCAGTGTGTAACATTTAGGAGGATCTATTGACGGAAATGTGTTTTCATTAATGTTTAATCACCTGAATATAGGAATCGTCGTGTTGTCCCTATCTAGAGCCAGTGTTTGGTTTGTCCTTCTGGGCCGCTGTAGAAACATGGCGGTTCAACATGGTGGACTGAGACCCACGGTTTCTGCAGATACATTTCTTATTTTCAGGAGATTTTATACTAACTGTTTGTTTGCAATGCAATATATAATATATAATATTGTACGGAGGCTTATGATGTTTGTGTTGGACCAGTTAATGAAGTTCAGCACTACACCCTCACGGTTCCTGGCCCATCAGAAAGTCTTAGGATTTTGAGTCTTTTCAGGGCCCTGCATTTAAAAACTTAAACCAAGTTTCTGCAAAATTGAGGTCAAGCTCCTGAGCTCTTGAAAAGGGTTGTGAAAAAGTCCCTGCGGCCAAAAAAAAGCTATCTGTTGTTGCTTGGCAACTTTTTTAGGACAGCATCCTCACTTTGGGGGTGACTGGTAGATCCTTTTATCCTGGTTCCTATTAGACTTTATAGTATTAGTATATTATGCAACATTGGGACACATTTTTCTTTCAGGGCTGCAGGTTTTGCTTCATGCTGTTAAGCTTTCAGCCTCTCAGCAGCAGTTCTACCCCCTAAAAAATGAACGTACAGATCTGTGCGACCATATTTGCTGTTTACACTCCCTTCCTTCCTGTCCAAGTTAATGAATCGTATCAGAGCAGTCGAATTTCGAATTTCCCTGTCCTTCTTCTTCTTCTTCTTCTGTCTTCATAATTGTTTGTGTTTTACACTTCTGTCCTGCCAGAATCAATTAGCCGTGTCACAGTGGTGCATTTCCTTTTTCCTCTCCATGCCTAAACAAGCTAATGTGATCACTGTGGCTCCATATTGTATATGTCAGACACTTCCCTCCTGTCCACACTCATCCATCACATTAGAAATTCACTTTCAGTCAAAGCTTCCTGTTTTTTTTTACCCCCTCCGCTCAGATTAGGTTTGACATTTACTTCCCCTCCCTGACCTTTACACTGATATTAGCTGCATTAACAAGCCGTTCCATGCTGAGTTAAAGGTGCTGTCAAAGCTGTGGTCTAGGCCATGTCGTGCAAGGATATCAGGTGAAAACCTCCAAGATGGCAACATGTTAAGAACTCTGGACAACTGGATGACGGTCAAGTTTTAGCATCTTCCAAAGGGCTTTTAAAGGGATTTAGGAGTCTCCAGGTGTCAGTTAATGGTCTAAAACCTTGTGCGCGTTCATATTTAACCGTGCTCCGTTAAAATCGCTCACCACTCGCTCCAAAAGAAGAAAAAAGAGCTGTTATATTTTACTGATAAAGCTGTATGTATCACGCTGAAGAAGCAACCCCCTGCTTATCCATGAACACATAATTCAAGAGATTACTATAAAGATCAGCTGTACATGTGATTAGGAAAGAGCAGAGGAGCAGAATTGCTCATCCATGTGGTGCAGAGAAATGCTCTTTTGCCATTAACAGCCAGGCTCGCACTCGTGCAGGAATTGACGATGAATGGGAAGCGTTGAAATGATCCTGTGGGGATACAGGATACAGATACAGTACAGTGGTACCAGTGGCAGACACATGCAAACCGATGCTCCGATTTTTCTTCACGCTCCTCACTTGTTCAGCTCACTCTGATGTAAAAGTCTTTTACAGAACAAAATGTTATAAAACCGTAATACAATTTTAAGCATATGACACACTAAATAACACTCTTAGCTATGCTATTAGAGTTAAATAAAAGACTGCAGGTAGAAAAAGCACCAGGTATGAGCCAGTCAGAATAGAGCTCTACAGTCCAGATGCATAGCGGTTAAAATAAGTCGGCTGCAAGATACAAAGGAGGCCACAAATGCTCAGAGAATTTTATTTTTTCAGCTGTGCTAGCGGTATATCGTCCAGTTGGTCCAACACTTTAGTTCAGACTGAAATATGCAACAACTATTCGATGGATTGCTGTTCATGTTGGACAAAAGCTCATGGCTCACAGAGGGTGAATCCTACTGACTGTAGTGGTCCTCTAGGGCCATCAGTAGGTCAACATTTTTACTTATTTTGTGAAAAACAACATTCAACATCATGGCTCCCAAATGATGGTCCATCCTGACGCCACCAGGAGGTTTGTGTTCTGCACAATGTCTTGACAATTATTGGCTGGATTGGCATGAAATTTGGTTCAGACATTCATGTTGTCCTCAAGATGAATTTTAATCACAGGTGAGCCCTTCTTTTTTCATTTATCTCGATTGTCAGATCATTTTTTTAATTTCTCAGACTCTTTGTTTAGTGCTTATTAGCAAATATTAAACAATACAGCACCACATAGCTGCTAGCATGTCTGCAGACTTGTGAGAACAGACATTATCTTATACACACAAGTCTTGATCTTGTGGGAGCAGCATTGATGTATTGTACAAAGTTCAGATGGCTCCCCCAAAAGACAATACCTTACAAATACGGGGTAATCAGATCAGGTTACAGAACCTGGTGTTACTGTTCAGGATGCCTCAGACCCAGTTAGCAAAAATATCTTTGCTCAACTGTGCCCTTCAGTAAACCTGGCACACTTGC